AGGAATATCTTGTTTGAACTGCTTTCCCAATACTACTTATCCTGTCAATAACTGACTCTTCTGCTATCATTCAGTTGCTTTGGAGGGTGCATGTTTCCTTTCATGAAGACCTCTCTGCTAATAATGGCATAAAATTATTTTAGAAGAGCAATAGAGAAGCTAGACCTACTTTCTCTTAAAATTCATAGGCTTTTAAATCTTCTCTGCCAAGTATATCAAGCTTGTTATTTTTTTTTCTCATTCAAGTTTAATGTTGTAGCTATCTAATGCTCCATTGTTTATGAAGTGCTATGTGCTGAGAAAGGTAGTAGGAAACTATTGCCAGAAAACAGAATATTGTGATCCTGTAAGTGCTCTAGTCCTTATGCTTCTTAAGTATCTGCAACTGGCCTGCTTGAAAAAGAGCATACCAATGAAGATAGCTGCAGTCTCATCAAAGCTAACACCTCCTCTCCTGTGGTGTGAGAGGACTCAAGGTGTTGGGTTTTTTTTTTCCCTAATTGTTAGTGTTAGTATTACTACTTTACCAAGAAGTAACCAAGGTTTTCCTTTACCCTGTCCTGTTTTCAGGTTGCTCAGGATGCTGCTCTTTACACAGGAGATCCAAATTTAGGAATGGAACTGTTTGAAGCTGCTGGAGACATATTTTTCAATGGTACTTGGGAAAAGGAGAAAGCAGTGACTTTCTACAGGGTTTGTGTTTTGTTTTTCTCTGCATTAGTAGTTGTGGCTTGGGTCCATTTACTAGGTGTTCTACAAATGCTAAACCAAAAGATGATCTGCTCACTAGTTTATAATCTACTCTGACTAATTTCTGTCACTGTTAGTAGATTTGGCCTGTTTCAACCCTGCCGCCGGCTGCAAGATCTGTATTAGATGCAAAGAGAAAACCATACTAGAAATAACTTTATATCATAAAAATTGATGATGCCAGTGCACATCTTGGAATTCAGACGTGCATTTCCTCATGCATTTTAGGACAGAGCCATTCCACTTGCTCTTGAGACGGGTAATAAAAATGCTGAACTCCGATTATACAACAAGCTGTCAGAACTGCTGATGAACTTGAAGGCTTATGAGGAAAGTCTGGAATATGCAAGATTATCCCTTATGCTCAGTGTGAATTTAGGTAAGACCAGTTGTAACTACAGCTGAATATGACTGCTCTTTCCAATATGAGGCAATATAACTTCTAATATGATTTTTGAAAAGTTTTCTTCCTTTTGAATTCAGTCAGCTTTATTAGCAGGAATTTATATCACTAATGTCTTTTCATGTTTGTTAAAGAATAAACAGCTTTATTGCTGCCTGCTTTCAGCTCATGGAAAACCTTGAAACTCCATGTTTAATTCTCTGCTCTACCAAGTAGAAATGGAATGCATTAAGCAGTCTGCTTTTTATAACTGAGCTGTAATATTGATGAATATTGTTGTTCCTAGAGGCTTTTGAGAGCAATGTCCTGCTTTTAGATTTGTTTGTAGCCTTAGTAAAAATTAGAGCTAGTTGTCAAAGTCACTGTTTTCTCAACTTTGAGACGAGTACTCTCCCTACTTGACACATGTGCAGACAGGTTCACTTTGATCAGTCTAGTTTTTGTTATATGATTTTTTTGATAGGAAGTTTGTATTGAAACAAATGCTTGATCCCATTATCTACTATACTTTGAAAATCTATTCATATTTCTGATAAGCATGTGCAGGCTATATGTAACTATATGAGAGTTATGAATACAATGATTTCTTAAGAAAATCCCCAAGACAATCAAATGCTACAGTGAGAAACTCAATGGTTTTGTATGATTTTCTTAAGAAATAAAAGGCAGTAGGTTTTGGCTATGCATCTCTTGAGGAAATTTATTAATGAGAAGACAAAATCATGTAGAACAAAAAGGCCAAGACTGGTTTCAGAAAAGCTGACTTCTTTGACCTTATCCTGATTTCTGCATTCTCTGTTTAGGAAATCAGCTAAATGAACGAGTAGCCTACCATCGCCTAGCTGCCATCCATCACCATCTGGGTCACTGTGAGCTTGCTGAACACTTCTACTTGAAAGCCTTGTCCCTCTGTTCCTCTCCTTTGGAGTTTGAGGAAGAAACATTGTATTATGTCAAGGTGTACTTGATCTTGGGAGACATCATATTCTATGACCTAAAGGTAAGGACTATTAAAAGAACTAGGTGGAAGAAAACCATTCAATTGAAGTGTTTCATGACATTAAGTTTTTACTTAATTTTGGTTTCATGCATTTTTAACGTGATAAGCGTGGGAAAACTAACTTTGGTTCAGAATCTTCATTCTTCTGCTTGGATATGTAACGAACTGATCTTAGGTGTCCTGTTAAACCTGTTGTACTACAGAGGATACTATTTTTGTCTCTTATTTCAGGATCCTTTTGATGCAGCAGGTTATTACCATTTGGCACTTGCTGCCGCCATGGACTTGGGCAATAAAAAAGCTCAGCTGAAGATTTACACAAGACTTGCAGTCATCTACCATAACTTTCTTGTAGATCGGGAAATGTCTCTCTTCTTCTATCAGAAGGCAAGAACTTTTGCAACAGAGCTGAATGTTAGGAGAATAAACCTAGCCCCTGATAGGGGTTATAAGAATTCAAGAGCATCTTTGAAAAATGCATCCTAACAGCAATGGAAGTAGCTAGAGAAATACTGCACTGGCTCTGGAGCATGCAGGGTGTACTCAAGGTGTCATACTGCATATGTTTAAGTGGGAGCTTAGCCTCTGAAACTAGTTTGATTTTTTTTTTTTTTTTGATCATCTCTTATGACAGTGGACTGCATTTCATTGTCTCAGACATACAGTCCTATGTTTGTATTTGAAGATCACTGTATGAACTAAACTAAAACCCAAAGGCCTTTATCTTTTTTCAAGCCACATTTTCCTTTAACTGTTTCTGCATAGCTGTTTGATAGGCAGGAAATGATCAATGCATATATGCAAGGAAATATATTTAATAAAAAATTGCAGAGAAATAACACTCCATGGAAAGCTGTGGCTTTCTTTGACTTAGGTCTATTGTATTTACTCAATGATGTAGAAATACTTGCACAAGCATGTTATGGTATTTGGGAATGTATTTGATCCAGTTCTCCAGGCATCACTCATCACTTTTCCTCAAACATACTTACTGTAGAATTCTTAAGCTCTAATTAAGAGAAAACACTTTGTAGTCACAAGAACACTTATGTGCACTTATGTGACAGTGAATTGTTTTCAAAAAAGAGAATTCTAGTGCAGTGTAAATTGTAATTTTGTGGATTTCGGCAATAATGTGAAGGCACTTTTTCTCTGTTCAAAGACAATGTTTTTTGACAATTTTCAAAGCTGTCAGTATTATTTTCATAGGACTTTTTGCAGCACCTACTACAGCCTCCCCTATAACTATTATGTCCAGTAAAATGTATTTATTCACTTTACTTGCAAAAGTTCTGTATTACTTTTGATAGCTTTAAATCTCTGCTTCAAATTGTTTTACATATCATTTCTACCAAGGCTTTGCTATAGGAGATCACACTGTATATTTTGAGAAAGAATGTGTATGTTTAAAGAAAAGTCTGATATTTGCAATTAAATGTTCAGATAAATTTTGAAGTAATGTCTTCTCTTTTTTTGCCACAACTACATAGTTCATGGTATTTTTAAAGGCCTTTACATGGGATGGGAAGTATGGAAGTGCGGGTGAGTTGCAAAGAGTTGTTGACTACGTATTTTATTTGCCAATAGTGCCTAACCTGGGGAATTAAAGGTGCAAACCTTTTTTTTTTTTTTCCCCAATCCATGTATTCTCATTGCTTTGACTGTCTACCTGAGCATGTTTTCCTAAAATCTATAATTCAGCATGCCCTGAACACTTCATATATTTATCTGTGCCTCTGACTTTAGTGTTTTCTCTCCTTGTGAATCCCTCATCATTTCTGTGGCTTGTTCTGCTGAAGGAACATAAGATACTTATGCATAACCTGGATGCTAAACTATTACTAGGGATATTCCCAGAGAAGTGACAATCTGGATTAGATTGCCTTAGACAGGCACAGCTAGGCCTGCATCTTCCTCCCTAAGGACTACTCTAACCACAGTTCTACAGAATGGCCTGTTGCCACTGTCATGATAATTGGGTGACCTGTTAAGTATCTTGAGGAGAAGATTTGATTTCTGGGTAGACTGAGAACCTCTGCAGTGCTGCTGTTGGCTCAGAGCTCCAGAAAGTGGAGGTAGGATATCAGCCCTATCCCTTTGCGGATTATTACTTTGTATTTGCATTTTCTGAGAGGTTTCTAGCACACTACCATTTTTTCTTGGTTTTCTCTCGCATGCTCTATATAGTGTATTTATGTGTCCCTGTGTTCCCAGTTTCATTTTAAGGCTTCATCACTTTAGGTGTCTAAAGAGTAAGCATGATAGTCCCTTGCTTGCTGCACTCAAATTTATATATAAAATATGCTGCACTCATTAATCACAACACTTTGCTTAAAACTGGAGAGTGAATCAGGTCTCTAATGTTCTGATTTTAGAAATGCATCTATTGTTCAGAGCACATCTGTGCACATTTTTTCAGTTATGATTGGATTTGAATTTAAAAGCATTAAGATTGAAATTCTTACTGTTCAGGTATCTTGGGAACTTACCTTGAAGACTCAAGACTCAGACTAGTGTCCTATTGTCCCACTAACTATGGGAAATTATCCCAGCTCCTGTTCCTTGTCTTCATCTGAGAATGTAACAGTCTTGAAAGCTTTCTTCAGAGCTGCGAAAATTATGGATGTTCCTGTCTGCTAATGCTTTTTCCAGTGTTTAGCAAACTGGTTTCCATTTCTACAGGTTTTCAGAATACATAACTTTTCATCTGATTCCAATTGTCATAATCATATTCTGTCTTCGTATTTCAGGAAGGAAAGCTGCTTTTCCTAATCTGAAATTCAATCCTACTGATAAGGACTACTTTCCTGCACTGCTGCTTCCTCTCTTTGCCCCAGTTTCACAGAAAACTTGCTTTCAGAACAATTCAGTCCTTCATATTAATTCACTATTTAATGTCAAATTGTGATTGCACAATGTATATAGCACCCTGAATATCTTATGCACTTCTTCTAAGCCTGTGGAGCATAAAAATCTAACTGGAGATTAGAGAAAAAAAAAAATCTAACTGCCTTTTAAGAAGTTAGTACCTGAATTTTTTCAGTTTGCTCTGACGCAGGAGCTCTGTTCCCACCTTCAGAATGTCCTTAAGTCATAGGTATGAGGTTTTGAAGAACTGCATTTCTGTAAAATGTGTGATGGCTTCAAAACCCTTTGGACCTTTAAATATGTTTTTATCTTCCAGACTAAAAATTTAATTTTATGAATCTATGATCATGTGTCTCATATGCACCAAAGCTGGAGTTTACAAATTCTGGGAGGAACTGAATTTGGCCTCGAGGCTTTTAGTACTTCAACAAGATGCCAGTTTTGCTAGCAGAAAGATATTTCATGATGGAGTTCAACTGCATCTAAAATGAGCCATACAACTCCTCTGTCACAGCCACATTCTTGCAAGTTTTGGTGCCCTTGATCAGGAAGGGCAGGATTTATCTTACCTGGCACATGGTCATATCCCCTTTAGCGTCACAGAAGGATCAACTCAAATGCAAGTCTACAGTGTAAAATTTTGCATGTGGGTCAGGTGAATCTCACTGGGGCTATTCCCTCCTGTCTATATAGTGTCTCAAATTTTCAGACCACCTCTCTAAAGCTCCCTCAAAGTTTTTTCCTGCAGCTGTTAAATGATGAATTTGGGCTGGGTAATTGGCAAAACATTCTTGTAGTTTAATGAAGCAAAAAGTCGGAACAGCATGGACTCTGGACACCACCTGCCTAGAGCACAGAAAGCATTCAAAAGCAGAGCTTGTATCTTAAAAAGACAATAAGTAGTAGGATGTCTGGCTGATAAACGAAAATCAAGACAAAAGTGTCACAGGAACTAACTGTAGACTCACAGGTCTTAAATCCAGCTAGTTAGCAACAAAAAAAAAGGACACATCTAATGAGCTGCAACAACCCTGTTGAGCTGTTAAAAGCCCTGCAGGTGCTGTCACACTGTAGATTTTTTTTGCTTGATTGCAAAACATATATGTATATCTGTGCACTAAGTTGCTGCTTCCAGAAAAGCCATGAACTGGTGCAGGTGAGCAGCCATGTGTGCAGAGCCCCAGCAGACGTGCATCTAGACATTCGTGGTGTTTTCTCATCCAAGAATGAAATAAATTGACAACTGTCACTCAATTCTTAAAACAGGATTACAGAAAAGGAAGCAGTCTTGCTACTATTGTATGTAATATTTAATTACCCGGAAAGGGTAATCACCTCCTGCTTTCCTCAGCCTGTAGAAATTCTTACTGCCAGATAGGAAAATATGGGGTATCCTACCCAGTATCCTAGGGGCCTATCCTCTTCTCCTTCTCTGCCCTTGAGACAGAAAGGCTTGCCAAATTTTACATGTTGTCTGGATATGAGTGCAAGGCAGCACAGCCCTTTTCCTGCAAGGTTAAAAAATTCACCTTAGGCAGTAAAGGAAGGCCGGGCACCAGCCAACTTCATCATCCTCAGGTGCAACTCAGCATCCTCAGAAAAGTTAAGTTGGTTTCATGCTGGTGTTAGAGGGTGGAGGACCTAATGCATTCAATTTTAACAGCTTTATTTTTTCAAGTGTCAGTGTTAATTTAAAAAGTCGTTAGCCACACGGTGGCACTCTCTAACTTTAAAGAGAGGCCTCTAGACCAGGTTAAGGAAGGATCTAAAACCCTCAAAACCCAGTGTGCTGTTCCTCACTTACCCTTCCTTTCCCAACAAAATCTAACATCTCTTTAAAAAGACCAACCCCACAACACGCATACAAAACAACAACAAAAAAGCTTCAAAAATGGTGATGCAGGTCCCTGGTCTCGTCAAAGTTCTTTTTACTAGGACCAAAGAAACAATGATCTTCTCTAAATTAGCGTTCGTATCTTCTTCCCCAAAGGCAGTTTGCTTCAAGAAAGCAAACTCCTACAGGGAGTGAGAGGGAGTTGAAGAGAACCATTATTTTAAGCTCCTTTGAAATGCCTGAAGTTCTTAAAATTAACTCATCCACAGGCCCAGAAAAAGCTGGCTGCTGTAAGACAGGGTACAATTTTACTTGGCAGTCAGAAAATTGGAATATAACCATGAAGTACTGTCATAGAGAAAAAATGAGAAAGCAATGTGAGAAGCTATGCACTGAAAAAAAAGTTGGTGCTAGTTTAAAATGGCCAACTTTCGACAGTTAGAGTGATGCATAAGACTTGTCTGGTATGAAGCTGGTACTACAGTATTCTGGACAGTGATTCGGTACATTCAAAATAGCTTAAAATAAGGAGCTCATAGAAAATCACTTTTTCTGAAAAGTCTTTTTTTTTTTTTTTTTTTTCAAAATGTCCCCAACGTGGGACATAGCAAAGCTGTAAGCACTCTTCTTGCTTATGTACATTTCTTGCAGGGTTTTATTGTTTCTTGATGTGCTAAGGGGATATTCTCCTAAATATTTTGCTCCTAATGCTGTCCTACATTCATTTTCCTATTTCAGATAATGAATTTTCCATAAGACTTTTCTCTCTCTGGCAACTTTGATC